TATTGTAGAAGAGTTCCACATGGCTGTTTCTGGTGTTGTAGAAGCGTTCCACATGGCTGTTTTTCTGGTGTTTTAGAAGCGTTCTACATGGCTGTTTCTGGTGTTGTAGAAGTGTTCCACATGGCTGTTTTTCTGGTGTTGTAGAAGTGTTCCACATGGCTGTTTCTGGTGTTGTAGAAGTGTTCCACATGGCTGTTTTTCTGGTGTTGTAGAAGCGTTCCACATGGCTGTTTCTGGTGTTGTAGAAGTGTTCCACATGGCTGTTTCTGGTGTTGTAGAAGTGTTCCACATCGCTGTTTCTGGTGTTGTAGAAGCGTTCCACATGGCTGTTTCTGGTGTTGTAGAAGTGTTCCACATGGCTGTTTTTCTGGTGTTGTAGAAGTGTTCCACATGGCTGTTTTTCTGGTGTTGTAGAAGCGTTCCACATGGCTGTTTCTGGTGTTGTAGAAGCGTTCCACATGGCTGTTTCTGGTGTTGTAGAAGCGTTCCACATGGCTGTTTCTTGTGTTGTAGAAGTGTTCCACATGGCTGTTTTTCTGGTGTTGTAGAAGTGTTCAACATGGCTGTTTCTGGTGTTGTAGAAGCGTTCCACATGGCTGTTTCTGGTGTTGTAGAAGCGTTCCACATGGCTGTTTCTGGTGTTGTAGAAGCGTTCCACATGGCTGTTTCTGGTGTTGTAGAAGTGTTCCACATGGCTGTTTTTCTGGTGTTGTAGAAGCGTTCCACATGGCTGTTTCTGGTGTTGTAGAAGCGTTCCACATGGCTGTTTCTGGTGTTGTAGAAGCGTTCCACATGGCTGTTTCTGGTGTTGTAGAAGTGTTCCACATGGCTGTTTCTGGTGTTGTAGAAGCGTTCCACATGGCTGTTTCTGGTGTTGAAGAAGCGTTCCACATGGCTGTTTCTGGTGTTGTAGAAGCGTTCCACATGGCTGTTTCTGGTGTTGTAGAAGCGTTCTACATGGCTGTTTCTGGTGTTGTAGCAGCGTTCCACATGGCTGTTTCTGGTGTTGTAGAAGCGTTCCACATGGCTGTTTTTCTGGTGTTGTAGAAGCGTTCCACATGGCTGTTTCTGGTGTTGTAGAAGCGTTCTACATGGCTGTTTCTGGTGTTGTAGAAGCGTTCTACATGGCTGTTTCTGGTGTTGTAGAAGCGTTCCACATGGCTGTTTTTCTGGTGTTGTAGAAGCGTTCCACATGGCTGTTTCTGGTGTTGTAGAAGCATTCTACATGGCTGTTTCTGGTGTTGTAGAAGTGTTCCACATGGCTGTTTCTGGTGTTGTAGAAGCATTCCACATGGCTGTTTCTGGTGTTGTAGAAGCGTTCCACATGGCTGTTTCTGGTGTTGTAGAAGCGTTCCACATGGCTGTTTCTGGTGTTGTAGAAGCGTTCCACATGGCTGTTTTTCTGGTGTTGTAGAAGCGTTCCACATGGCTGTTTCTGGTGTTGTAGAAGCGTTCCACATGGCTGTTTCTGGTGTTGTAGAAGCGTTCTACATGGCTGTTTCTGGTGTTGTAGCAGCATTCCACATGGCTGTTTCTGGTGTTGTAGAAGCGTTCCACATGGCTGTTTTTCTGGTGTTGTAGAAGCGTTCCACATGGCTGTTTCTGGTGTTGTAGAAGCGTTCCACATGGCTGTTTCTGGTGTTGTAGAAGCGTTCTACATGGCTGTTTCTGGTGTTGTAGAAGCGTTCCACATGGCTGTTTTTCTGGTGTTGTAGAAGCGTTCCACATGGCTGTTTCTGGTGTTGTAGAAGCGTTCCACATGGCTGTTTCTGGTGTTGTAGAAGTGTTCCACATGGCTGTTTTTCTGGTGTTGTAGAAGCGTTCCACATGGCTGTTTCTGGTGTTGTAGAAGCGTTCCACATGGCTGTTTCTGCTGTTGTAGAAGCGTTCCACATGGCTGTTTCTGGTGTTGTAGAAGAGTTCCACATGGCTGTTTCTGGAGTTGTAGAAGAGTTCCACATGGCTGTTTCTGGTTTTGTAGAAGTGTTCTACATGGCTGTTTTTCTGGTGTTGTAGAAGTGTTCCACATGGCTGTTTTTCTGGTGTTGTAGAAGAGTTCCACATGGCTGTTTCTGGTGTTGTAGAAGAGTTCCACATGGCTGTTTTTCTGGTGTTGTAGAAGTGTTCCACATGGCTGTTTCTGGTGTTGTAGAAGCGTTCCACATGGCTGTTTCTGGTGTTGTAGAAGTGTTCCACATGGCTGTTTTTCTGGTGTTGTAGAAGAGTTCCACATGGCTGTTTCTGGAGTTGTAGAAGAGTTCCACATGGCTGTTTCTGGTTTTGTAGAAGTGTTCTACATGGCTGTTTTTCTGGTGTTGTAGAAGTGTTCCACATGGCTGTTTTTCTGGTGTTGTAGAAGAGTTCCACATGGCTGTTTCTGGTGTTGTAGAAGAGTTCCACATGGCTGTTTTTCTGGTGTTGTAGAAGTGTTCCACATGGCTGTTTTTCTGGTGTTGTAGAAGAGTTCCACATGGCTGTTTCTGGTGTTGTAGAAGAGTTCCACATGGCTGTTTCTGGTGTTGTAGAAGTGTTCCACATGGCTGTTTTTCTGGTGTTGTAGAAGTGTTCCACATGGCTGTTTTTCTGGTGTTGTAGAAGAGTTCCACATGGCTGTTTCTGGTGTTGTAGAAGTGTTCCACATGGCTGTTTTTCTGGTGTTGTAGAAGAGTTCCACATGGCTGTTTCTGGTGTTGTAGAAGAGTTCCACATGGCTGTTTTTCTGGTGTTGTAGAAGAGTTCCACATGGCTGTTTTTCTGGTGTTGTAGAAGTGTTCCACATGGCTGTTTTTCTGGTGTTGTAAAAGTGTTTCACACTGCTGTTTCTGGTGTTGTAGACAGGGGCGTAGCACCAAATTCTGGGCCCTAGGTACAAGTCTTCTAGGTGGGCCCCCATGCTCAATTACTCAATATCTCTCTTACACATTTTTTGTCATGCTATAAGACAAGATAATGAATATGATCTTAGTTTAACCTCTATATTGAGCAAATACAAATGCCAGCATAATAAACGTGAAATGCCCAGACTTCACATACAATTATTTTTATTTGCCAACAATGTGTTCAAACAAAAATCCTGGAATTTATTTTCCAGTAAATGCCCACTGACGGGTCTTCATGTTAGCAAAATCACTTATGAGTTCTTTAAAGTCCAATCCTTTGGCTAATTGGCTTTCAATAGAAAGAAGAGCTAGGCTGTTCAGTCTATCCTGGGACATTGTTGATCTCAAATAATTTTTCACCAGTTTCAGTTTGCTAAAAGCCCGTTCACCCCCAGCAAATGTCACAGGTAGTGTGCAAAATATCCTCAGTCCAATACAAACTTCTCCAAAAATGCTCTCTAATTGCATCCTGTAGATGGCATTAAGCAGCTCAAGAGGAGACCGAATGTGTGGAAATGTGGCACCATATATTGTTCTCAGGTGTAGCATCTCATTCTCAAATTCAGCTGTGAGATCCTTGTAATATTTTCTCATCAGTGCCTGGCATGATATCTTCATCTGCTCTTCAGTCATATCTGTCATGGTTCATGATGTTAAGCTTTGCTAATACTGATATATATTGATATATTAAATACATATGACATGAAATAAACCAGGTTCTCTCTGTGAATGTAATGTACTCTAAATTTTATAATCCCTGCATTATCAGCCAAATTATGAGATTGTCCGTTTTCACGATCAAATATAAAGAAATTTAAAATAGGCTTAAAATATCTAACCAAGTCAATAACAATCCTCTAACACCAGTGTCATCATGCTCTACGAAAAACAGTGGCAGCTTCTCATTCCTGAGATTACCACAAATCCATCGATACCAAGTTTGTCCTGGTCCATGACTGGGAAGGAGCTGAAATATCCACACAGAGTGAACCTGTTTTTACTGCGAGGTCCTCAAATTAATTGGCGGCGGCCGCCCGCGATAACAATTCTGGTTAATATATATATATTAATTAGTGTTTTCACTGACAACACTAATTAATTTATATTTGATCTTGATGGTGAAACTAAAGGCGTTTAACACTGAACACCTAACATGAATGCAGCTTCTGAGAGCTAGCTAATATCAGCTAAAACTGTGTTCTGCTGGCTGCTGCTCACCTTCCTTCTTGAAGAACCTAGTCAATACTTCCTTCTGTTCGATTAACTTTTTCTCCTTCTTTTCTTTTCTTTTCTGGAAGCCAGATTTCCCTTTCTTGGGAAAAGACATGACTGACTCTCCTGCCTCCAGCTCTGGCTGTCGGCATCTGCGATGTCTCATAGCTGTACATGCGGCCGTGCAGCCCCTGGCCGCTGGTGTGGACTAAACCACTTTGCACATTTTTAAGGGGTGATAGATGCCTCAGAGATTATTCAGTTATTATTTTTAAGGCGAAATTCTGTTTCTTAACCTCTTTATCCAGGTAAAGGGAAGTTTATTAAGACATTAAGTAAGTTGGGGGGAAAAACAACAACAATAAAACATTTTTATTCAAAGCTGTCTCAGGGCCCCTCCCTGCAGTGGGCCCTGGGTAAACGGTACCCTTTCCCCCCCCAGTCCGACGCCCCTGGTTGTAGAAGAGTTCCACATGGCTGTAAATGTAACGTAGCGGGATGAAATAAATCATTAGTTTGTAATTAAAGCAAAAAAATGTGACACACAAATGAGTTCTGAAGGTAATAAAATCACCACCACTACTGGTGTTGCTACAGCTATAAATACACTAACTCGCTGTTGATGTTAGCAGCTAACATGAGGTAAACTTACTGAGGCGACTTTGTTCTCCGCCATGACGTGTTTCCTCTTAAATCTAACTGATAAAAAAATACCTTTAGCCTTCTAGTGAGCGCAGTTTTGGGAGACATTTAGTTGTTTTTTAGCTCCAAAGCTGCTGCCTGCTGGCCTGGTCCCGCTGACTTGTTACATCAGCATAAATATTTACAAGCTGGTTTTCTGCTGGATGCTCATATTTAGCTGATTCAAACCACTGGGAGGCATGTTTAGGAGGATGTAATTTTTTGCAGGATGTGTGACAGCGGTGAAGGCCTCTACACTTTCCAGACCAGGGAGGGAGAGCAGCTCTACCAGAGGGTCCACTCTTCCACGTTGGCCATTGCTGAGCAGCGCAAACAGGTTCTGCTGGAGATGGAGCAAAGCAGTCGGGTGAGAGCACCAAGCGCCTGGCCTGCTTTAGTGGTTCTGTTAGAAGTTGAGATCCGTTCGGCTCATAATGTCAGGAATTCATCCTATTAGGTAAAATCAAATCTTATGGCGGTTCTGGATCAGAACTTCACTTATATAAATAAACTGAACTGAAGTGAACTAGATCAGTCTGTGTTTACAAGATACTAAACATTTAATGTGTGTGTGTGTGTGTGTGTGTGTGTGTGTGTGTGTGTGTGTGTGTGTGTGTGTGTGTGTGTGTGTGTGTGTGTGTGTGTGTGTGTGTGTGTGTGTGTGTGTGTCTTCCAGTTGCTTCCCAAAGGTTCAGAACCTGGCTCCTACCCATGCACGCCCACAGCCATTTTACCAAGGTCTGCATACTGGCACCACATCACTGGGAACCAGACCAGTTTGGATCATGGCACTGGTGAGCCACTAACAACTTTGCATTCTTCAAACGTCTGTCTGTTCCTCGCACTTGTCTCAGTACTATGGGAGCCAGAGCTTTCAGCCACTCAGCTCCAAAACTCTGGAACACTTTACCGCCTGACCTCCGCAATATAAACTCCTTCTCAACCTTCAAGTCTCAACTCAAAACTCACATGTTCTGCCTGGCTTACTCACTGTAACTGTCCTCCTTCCATCTACTCTTTTTAGTCTATTATCCATTGCTCTGCTCCAAATCTACCCTTGGGAATTACTCTTAGCATTTATTTCTTGTTGTTTGTATTGCTTGCTTGTTATATTTTGTCTTGTACAGTGACCTTGAGAGCTTTGAAAGGCGCTTGAAATTAAATGTATTATTATTATTATTATTATTATTATTATTATTAAACTGATCCATTCAGAACATTAGTGAGAAATGAATTAAACTTTGTTTTCTTGCATAAAGTAGATGATTATTGTTTGCTCTGTAACCAGAGGAAAATGAAAACTAGTTCAGTAACTTGGTGCTGTTGAAACTTACATGTGCAGCTGTCCTCCATGATCAGAAAAAAAACACATCTTTACTTTTTTGGTAGACAAGGATGTTGACTCCACTGTTTAAGAGATCAGACTAACAACTGTTGAAAGCTGTCCACAACATCTGACAAAGTTCAGAACTCTAGTTTGAGACATGGGTATCCTGGGTGCTGCACACAGCATGATAGCGCCACCCAGTGGTCATATAAGCAGTAAAAGTATTGTCTGTAGATGTGATTCCACTGCAGCTGCAACTTTAGCCCTGAGCAGACTCCTTATGAGACCATGCATCTCCTGCTGAGTCTAGAGCTCCATGGATCATAGCAACCAGGCCATCTCCATGACTCTAAGGATCAGAGAATGCCTGGGAGAGGAGACACTGTTCTTTCATTCATAGATTTAAATAAAAAAGTGAAGAATAATTTAGTTTGAGTTAGAAATTTACTAAAAACATGATGGGATCTGTCACTTGCAGCAAAGAGAGAGAGAAGAAAGCAAGAACAGAAGGACTCATGTTTTCCATCATTCTAATTTTGATAATTGTAGAGATGTTGTATTCAGTTCATAATGCATTTGTAAAATAGTCAAAATGTGAAATGTCCCATTAGTTTATGAACTCAAACAAAGTAAAATCATTTTTGTTTGTTAAATAGTAGTTCACACACATTTTTGTCAACACCATCAGTTTTTGGTCAACACCGTCAGATGTATGTTTTAGAATTTTTAAAAAGAAAATGTTTATTCTTACTTCACTTTCTGGTCTTCATGTAATAAAGACACTAGTGATGTGTCGGTCTCGAACGAACCGGCTCTAAGAGCCGGCTCTTTGAAGTGAATGACGGGAGCCGGCTCGTCATTGGGAGCCGTCAAGCCCCCCTGCCTTGGTGAAAGCCACAGGTCAACTTGTGTAACTGCGTGTCCAGACTGTCCACACACAGAGCAGTACAGGTAGGAAGAGGGAGGATCAGACTCAGACACACAGCAGAGCACATGTGGGCGGAGGGAGATGAGAGGGAATGAGGAGGAGGAAAAAGGCGAGCGAGAAAGAGGAGAGTGCGACAACGACGGTGAGAAAATGAGCGCCAGCAGTCGGAAAATGGAGATTTCTGAAAGTGTTCAGTTATTAAATCCATAGAAATGATAAATATTTGATATATTCACAACAAAGTCACAATTTTCCTCAGCCCCCAAAACTTGAAAAAAGGTGTAAAAGTGTGAATGCATATATATAAAAATTGAAAAATAATCATTATAAATATGTGAAGCAATGCTTGAAGTAAACATCAAATTTGTGTCCTCAGTTTCTGTCAACTCTGGCAGATTTTTCATGAACTTCTTTTAATCAGGCAATGGCATGGTCATCTGTGTCACCGAGGACCCTTTTCAGTTGTGCTGATAACGGCACTAACCCCCAAATTCCACTACCTCCGCTCCGCTCCGACACGAACGCCGGAGCAAAATCGGTCCCGTTCTAGTCAATCAGAGCAATTCCACTACTGCGGCTGTGCTCCGGCAGTGCGGCGCCGTGCGCCGCCCTCTGTTCCGGCGTCCGGCAAAAATAGAATCGATCCTATTTTTGCCGGACGCCGGAGCACCTCCGCAGTAAATGGACAGAAATCACAATGGCCCAACAGGAAAAGGAGCAAGCACAATTTCCGTTTTTCACAATAAATCGATAAACAAAAGGCGTTTTTTGTTTCATATGCACAGATTTAACAACTTTTAACAACTATCAATGGCGGCTGAAGTTTAAATGCACAAAAGTAAGCCATAAATACAGTTTCTACTATCAAAGTAGTCACACTTTGTTGATCCAAACACTGCTGATCTCTCAACACAAATGATAGGCAGATTAAACAGTTCATGCCGATGCTTCTCCCACACAACGGGTGTTTGGATCTAACTTCCGCGTTTATTGCTCGGACTGTATCGCAAGATCTCGAAAGTCCCACGCATGCTTGTTTGCTCACCTAAGGTCTCCGCACCGGAGCGGAGCCGTTGTAGAGCGGGTGCCAGTAAAAATTGAGTTCGGAAGCGAGCGGCTGCAGAAGGCGGGGGCGGACCGGAGCGGAGCGGAGGTAGTGGAATTTGGGGGTAACACACATACTCTGGTAAGTAGGGTTGTCACGGTATGAAAATTTAACCTCACGGTTATTGTGACCAAAATTATCACGGTTTTCGGTATTATCGCGGTATTTTTTAAACGGTGTTGCATATGTTCAGAAAGCATTGATAGTCCTGTTCTACACAAACTGAAATAGTTTTGAAAAGGTGTAACAGTGTTTATTAAACCTAAAATAACACAAAGCCTTAGCAAAAGTGCAACTTTTCACAAGTAAAGGAACAAATATCTTCTTTTTCTGGAACATTTTACAGTAGTCAGTGCAGGTTTAAATTATACAAATCCAAACATTCGAAACATAAACAATATGTAAACAAATCAAAGAAACACCACTTGTTTTCTCATATACTTGTTTTCTTCATTATCAAAATGAAAATTTAAAACTCCAGTCCACACTTGACTTGAGCACTGTACACGTCAACCTTAAAAAATATGTATTTAAAATAAATATCCACTTTAAACCAATGACTAAAATAACTACTACACTATGTAATCAAATCCAAATGTTCAAGTATAAATGGCATTGAACAAGTAAACAAATCAATGACAAGGAACTAATTGTATATTTCTCTTCATCATCAACAAATAAGATGCTTCATCCAGCAACAGGGTGTCCGTGACACGGTTTAAATGCTGGCAGAGGACGCTGCGGATGCAGTATATAGTGACTCGTTGCATTCTCCCTCAGCCAAAAGTCCTCGCGTCATGCATTTAAGCTAAAATGCTCATGTTGACTTACCTTGCACTGGCTGTGGAGACGTGGGTGATGGTCACGCAGATGTGCCATGAGATTCGAAGTGTTGCTGCCTTTTGCAGACACTTGTTTCCTGCACGTTCTGCAAACGGGATAGCCGTCTTCTATTAACTGTCCCTCAGCATTTTTCAGAAATCCAAAATATGCCCATACTTCCGATTTAGTCTTCTTTGAGGGCTGATGGATGTCCTGGGCGCTGCCGTCTCCTCCTTCGGCCATTATTTCAGCTTCAAAGTTTTGGTGCCGTTGCAAACTAAAAAGTGCGTGTGCGCGCCGCGGGAACTTCAGCTGAAGCGACGGTGGCTGGTAAGGGTCACCGCGCTGAAACCGCGGCCACGGTAAACCCACCGAGATAATATAGTTTTTTAAAAACTGGACGGTTATTTTTATTGTCAACTTTTTTACCGGGGTTTACCGCTATACCGGTTACCGTGACAACCCTACTGGTAAGTTTAAAACTTTGAGACATTTTACACGGACACTGTCATTTCTATGGTCACAACTAGGGATGAGCGAGTACACCACTATCTGTATCTGTATCTGTTCAACCAACTAAATTATCAGTATCTGTACTCGGAATGGGCGTGGCATAATCTGGAAGTGGGCGTGGTTTAACTAGAAGTGGGTGTGGTTTACATCAATACATTATTTTAAGTCTGAAATTGATATGGAATGATCAGAAGTTGATATTTGTATTGTTTATTTGAAAACTATTTACAGAGCAGCCTCAGAATTGAGATTAAATATTTTTGATCACAATAGTAAAGAAACTATTACAGAACAAGTGTTTCAATAAAATCAGAACATTAATATTTAAGTGCATGGATTAATACATCTGAACTCATGCAGTAGGAACTAGGAAATATGAAATGATAGAACCAGACACAACTTTATGTATATTTTTTTCTTTTAATTTGATTAAACTGATATTTTTCTAAATGTTCTTGGCATTTTGCCCCACACAAAGTTAAATAAAACTGTGTGTGTGTGTGTGTGTGTGTGTGTGTGTGTGTGTGTGTGTGTGTGTGTGTGTGTGTGTGTGTGTGTGTGTGGATGAGCCGGACAGACTGCGCTCCCGGCCGGCTAGAGAGTTTTGTGTGTAGGGAGGGGCGGGCGCTCTATGTGACTGGCCAATCACAGAGCATGAAGACAGTCAGTTACCCAATGAGGATTTTCCTTCAGCACGATTACAGATATTTACGAGGTTTACTCGTTTCATGCTCGTTGTTACGCCCCCTCTCTGCAGGTCTAGGAGGATGAGGGGACTAACACAAGCAAATAGGTGTAAAAGTGTGTGTGAGGATAAAGGACGAGGAGGTTCGAGTAAAAACAAAAGGATTTATTAACGTAAGGTGTCCGTGGGTAAACGGCATAAATAAGGCTTCGTAATAATAAACTACAACATAAGCAGTCTCACTGCTTATGACCAAGGCTTTCTGCCAAAACGCAAAATATCCCCGGCTCAAAAGTCCTATGGGGATAAAAAGAAAAACACCACAAAGGCTTAACCCTTAACAAGGTGTGTGAAAACACACTCAGAAGGTACCCAGGCTAATCTGGGATCCTTAGTAGAGAACCTAAACATAAA